TGTAAGATTCAATGACTTATATAGAGTACCCCTCCTGATACATTATTTCCAATTTTGGCTATACTTGAAAAAATAAACAATATTGGAGTGAAAAAATTTAGATATTAATTTTGAAATCAATTTTTAAAATGTGAGAAAACCATGGTTTACTTTATTTACTTCTTTGGCACAAGTTCCCCCCCCCACCCCCCTTTGGTTTTGGGTTTTCAACTGATTGACCTCACCATGAACCAAAACTAGGGTATAAACAAGGTCAGTGTTCTTTAATGGGTGGGAAAAACCGCTTTCTGGAGATTTTGAAAAGCAAAAAAAAAGAAAAGAAGTTTTGTGAAAGGAAAGAACCGGAATCAGTGATTACTGGAGTGATTCGGTGTGTAAATAATTCGATGTGCCAAAGGAACGAATGGAGTGGAATGAAGCGGAATGGCTTTGTTTCTGACGCCTCAGGGGGAAACAAATTCTAAAGGGAATTCCCCCAGTTCAGTACAGTACTGTACTTTTAACCAGTAAAAGGATTCCACAAAAAAAATTATTATCTTCTAAAATTGTCCTTGTTTTTTTGCTTTAGACTTGAAACAGTTATAAAAAGAACATCCTGTTTTGTCACTTGAATACTTCATCAGGAAAGGGTCCCCAGGAAAAAAATAATCAAATAGTTGAACTTGTGTTGCTTCAGAGGCATAATGTTGATTCATTTTTGGATGTTTCCTCAACAAAGGGCTCCTCAAAAGTCTTTCCAGGCTTTTTTTCTTGTGTTTAAAAGGAACCAAATTTAATCTATTTTAGGAAAATATCTTTTGGGCTCTTTTATAACATTAAATGAACCATTTTTCATCAGTACAGGGTTCCCACAAAAAAGCATTCCAGTTTTGTTTGTGGCATTAAAGAAAAATTGAATTTATAAAACATTATCTGTCACTTGAATAATTTCACCAAGAAAGGGTTCTTCATGAAAAATCATCAAGAATAACTTGTGGTGCTTCAGAGGTATAAATGAATCTATTTTTGGATATTTCATCCCTGATGAATAATTCCCCAGAATCCATTTTCAACTTTTTCTTCTGATGCTCAATAGGAAACATAATTAATGCATTAAGGAAATGTTTCTTTTGCATACTTTCATTAGTAAAAGGTTCCTCCAAAAAAAAATCTCAATCCAAATGTGTATTTGATGCCCAGAGGAGGCAAAAGTGTGAAGTTTACCTCATGATAAAAAAATCTATTACCGTATTTTCTGGTAAGCACCAAAACTAAATCTACTATTTTCTTGTAAGGCTTATTTATCTTGTGAAATATTGCTTAATCAAAGATGGTTCAATTTTTCTAAAATAGATCAATTCAGTTCTAAATGTGATTCCCAAAAATATGTACTGTATAGGGAATCTCTTTTTTTTATATTTCTACAAGCAAAAAATGTTTAGAAATGATAATTCTAGTTTTCTCCCTAAAGTTCAGGTGAAAGTCTTAGGAAAAGCTTTGAGCAGTTCATTTCTTTCATCAGTGGAAACAGTTCTTAGAAAATAATGTAAGGAAATAAATCTTTTAAAATGTATACAATTCTACAACTGAAGGGACTCCCAACAGCAAGTAAAAAAAAATTCAGTTTTTATAGTGCTAAAATAAAATGTAATTTTTTAGAAATAATTTTTCTCTACATTGGTCCCACTAGTAAAGGGTTCCTGTTTTTTTCTTTGTGGTACTTCAGAGAAATTCAAGTCTGATCAAAATCCCTAATATCAGTATTTCTATAGAAAAAAATAAGCACAAGTTTTTTGCTCTTGAGTGAAAATGACTCCAAGATCACTATAATGTACAATACTTCCATTAGTGAAAGGTTTCCCTTGGAAAAGTACTCCAGTTTTCTATGTGGTGTTCAAAATCCAGTGGACACTCATTTTCAAGGGAATTCTTTGGTAGAGTAATTTTGAAAATCACAGGGTTCTGTCAAAAGATTTTCATTTTTTGTTGTAGGAAAAAAATAAATCCTCTGGTACAGGAGGTCCTTTTCTAGTACTTATAGGAAATGAATCCTCCAGTTCAGTACTTTCACCAATGAATGTGGTTCCCAGGAATGATATTCTTTCTCCTCCCAGTTTTTTTTTTGTGTGTGCTGGCTTTTTTGTTCTTCTTGGAAACCCTGTCTATCTGTCTTTTGGTGTCTGGTTACTCTCTTACTTACTGTACTTACTTGGTGATGACCCGTGGAAGGGACAAGTTGATCCAACACACACACACACAAAATAATAAAAATAATGATAAATGGAGGAAGGAGGTTATTCACTGGGGGAGGGTAATTGGCGCCCTCTGTGCGACGAAGCGTGACATGGAAGGCGACTGACCCTGTAGCCCCGAATTTTCAGTGGAGGAAAAAAAAGGAGGAACCTCAGGATCAAAAGTTGCCTTCTTGTCCAGCAGAGACTCACTGTTCACTTTTCCCACCTGAAAGTACTGCATTGTACTGTTCCTACCTGAGCTAGCTTTCAGTTTCAAAATTTTGTTTTGCTGAATTTAATTTGAATTCTAATAAAAACTTAATTTTTTGCACTTGCCATTTTAGCATTTATTTTATTATGCCATTTTAGCTTTGATCTTTCAATCCCCATTTTCTTATCCAATATGTATGTTTTTTTTTAAGTTGAATTGTGTATAGATAAAATATAAAGGGAAGAATTTGACTTACTGTAGGCATAAAATAATATACTGTGAAAGGAAACTTATACAGTATTTGCTTTTTTAGCACTGATATTAGGTAAAAATCATTAGAAGTGAAAGTGGTGGCATTTTGTGCTTAATCACAAAAAAATGTGCAGTTTTGGTGGAAAATTGACCCAGAAGAAAAGGTTCTTTTTTAATGCACATCTCTTCAGTCACTAAACAAAAATGACAAACTTCCAGGTCTATGTAGAAAGGATGTCTTGCAAAACAAAAACAAAAAATGAACAATATTTCAAACAGCATCATACTATATACAAAAATACAGCACATGGAATTATTAACTAAACCAAAGTTATCCATGCCCATATTCCACAGGCAATCTTTGTTGTCAGCAAAATATCTTAACCATGTAAAAGTGATCCTCTGAGGTTACTTTAAGGTTGTTTCTATTAATTGAATCTATAATGGGTGTATTGAAACATTTTTCTAAAAAATTATTAAGTTTTTTAAATATTTCTCTTCTTATCTTTTGCCAGCCTTCTGCCAGTAGAACAAGTGAAAAAAAGTAAAACTATGCTGTGGAATAATGCAGGAGGTTTCTAAATGGACAACACTTGATTTTATTCTTCAAAATTTTACACTTGAAGACTCCTTTTCTCAAATTCAAGTGTCCATCATAATTCTGTAACATGTTATCAGACACAAACCTTAATTTGATATTTATTTTTCATAAATATGTCTCTCTTTTTTGGGTTGGGAGTATTGTCTGTGAGTAGGAATTTGTTTGTGTAAACCCCGCCCACTTTGCACTGGACCCGTCCACCTCGGACAGCTTGGTTTTCCGGACAGGCCTTGAGCTCTTCCACTTGCTTGACTCCTCTTTCTTTCAATTAATTCGTTCGTTCGTTTCTGTTCCTTGTGATTGCCCAAGTGTGAAAACAGGATCATCGGACTTCCATTAATTAACACTGCAATGGAAAACCCTCTCAACTAGGAAATTTTCTGCAGGGTTTCTGTAAAAGTTTGACCCCCTTTATTGTGTAGTTGAAAATGTCCCCCCTCATTTGTTACCCAAGCTTAGGATACCTACTGTCACCTCACTGGGGCTCTGTGACTTTGGATTTGCTCTTTAGAAATACATTTCTAATGTTATTTTGTGTCAAAAGCTTTGCCTTCTTTTTTTTTTTAATACAAAAGAAGACCTAATTTTGACTTTTGAAAATAGTTTTTGCTGATTTTCAGAAAATTGTGTGTATTTTAAAAGGAATTTCTTCTGGTCCCTGTGACACTAACTTTGACACCCTGGATAAAATATTTAATATTCCAGAAATCCACTGTTGTTTTTTTTAATTTTTAGAAGCTCTGGATTTTCTATTTTATTTTTTTCACAACATTTGAACTTTGACTCTTCCCTGAGTTTCTTGGATATTATTTGCAATGTTGTGCTCAGAAAGCTAGCTCATTGAAATGTTCATGTTGAAAGCTTCAGTATTTTGTTGTTGCCTCACTTTGGCTCTTTGACTCCAACTTTGCTCTGTGGAAATCATTTTTGCTGGTATAATTCAAGAAGCCAAGGGTTTTTTTTTCAAAAACAAAAGTTTGAATCCTTTCTGTGACCTCAACAGGATTGTTCCTTCTTTATACAGAGGGTTTGGATTTCATTTGTCACAATACCTCTTTGACTCTTTGACTCTATCCCTGCTCTGTGAAAAAAAGCAGGATTTTTTTCCAGGAAATTCAGTTCCCAAATTTCTTGAATTAGATGATTTTGGGATATGAGTACTGTAATAGTTTAAAAGACCTTAGGGATAATCATTACTAAATTCTTCTGTGAAATAACTTGAACAATTTTCAAGTGTGTGAGTTGTTGCATTTTGTGCCTTGACCAGTCTGATGATACAAGTGACACCTATGTAGAATTCCAGTCATGATATGAAAATGGAAAAAAATGTTTTGCTCAAAAGTTTCCATAAAATTGTCAAATCCTGGCAAAGTACAAGGCTATTCCCTTGAAACTTGATTATCATGAAATTTACTTCCAGGAAAGTACAATAAAAATGTCCTAAGTGGGCTGAAATTTTTTGCAAATGTAGTTGAAGACTGGTTGCACATTTTATCTTTTTCAGTATTTATTTTTGTTAAGCAATTTATTCATTTTTCCAAGACTTCAAGATAATTTTACAGCTGGTAAAAAGGAAAACTTTCCTCATGCAATTAAGAGTTTTGCATTTGAGTGTCAGAGTGTGCTGAACTTTTCGCAAAGCACTTGATGCAATGAGGTGGTCTCATTTAACTGGTGCTGAAACTAAACTGATGCTAACTTTTTCTTCATTGTTTGAATATCTATGTATATAGGTAGGGCAGACACTGGGTCTCTGTCATCATCCTCAGTATATGCAAGCAGGGCAGAACTAGTGAGTCCCCTGTACAAACTGCAGCTGCTTGGCAGGACCACTGGTGACTCCAGCCAATGCACTTCCATCAAGGTAGCAACTAGGGACAAGATGACCTACAGTGGACTGAGTGCCCATGTGGACCTGGACTCCAGACCTGATCCCACTGGGAAGTTCACTTTGCAGCATGTCATTGGGGAAGGCACCTATGGTGAGGTGTATGCTGCTCTGGACAACTCCAATGGTGAGTGTACTGTACCACTTCTACAGGATGAGCCAATGTGGAAAGAACAAGATCAGAAATCAAGAAGCAAGGCAGCAAGTCTGTTTACTACAAGAAAAAAAAAACTTTTTTACAAATTAGAACTTGAAACTTTGAAGATTTTAACTTATTTGCATTGGACAGCATTACAGTCCAACACTTGAACACTCTAGTGCAAGAAGTTCTGGTAAAACATTGTGTGGTGAGAAAGCAACAGCAGGAGCAGAATGAATTTTCCTTCAATTCATTTGCAAACTGGAAGCATCAGAAATATTTTACAAGTGTTTGCTGGTGTATAATTGAGGCATCAAGAGTGTCCTGATGCCAGAATGTCCCTAAGTCAAGTCTCATTTTCCCTTAGAATTCAATGGTAATGTATTTAATTGGTTCTCCTTTTTTGTCAAATATTAGAAATAAGGCCTCAGAAAAATTTAATAAAAATGTTTTGCTTAACTTCAAGTTGTACAAAACAACAGTGCAGAACAAAACCACATAGAATCTGATCTTTTGGTGTCAAAGGGAGATAAAAAAGCCAATAAAAAGAATAAGTATTGCTAAAATATATGCAGATTATAGGAACAAATGCAGAAAAAAGAAGCACAAAACAGCTTGCTTTTGATTCTGAATTAGAGTGAATTTATCATGAAATATATTTTTTTCAATTTGTGTGAATATAAATAGCTTGATTTGTTCAAAAGATATCAAATTTAAAACATTGAAAGCTTTAATTTTTTGTGAAAAATTCAGAAAAGTGTTCCTAACTGGAGCCAATATCCAGATGTTGAACCTGATTTTTTGTTGTTGTTTTCAAGTGTTGTGAAGTCAAATTGTCCATATGTTGAGGTTTTTGCACATTGGGGTCTTACTTCATATTCAATGGATTCCTCTTGTGCTTATTTTCATCATGTTTGTATAGAATTTAGGATATCAAGGCAAAGTAAACTCTTTAATGCATTTTTTGTAACTTTATTTATTTATTTGTTCAAATGAAGTGCATTTTTGCAAATGTCCCTTTTTTGAAACAAGTTTTATTTTTTAACTTGAGTTGTTGAACTATTTTTTTCCACAGGGAAACCAGTGGCCATCAAGATAATGGAGAACATCCCAGACAACCTTGAGGAGATTGAGGAAGAGTATTTGATCCTCAGGGACTTTTGTCTCCATCCCAACATCCCCATGTTCCATGGACTCTACCTCAAGAGAGGCAAAGTGGCAGAGGAGGATCAACTCTGGTTTGTCATGGAGGTGTGTTCACTATTCCAGTATATATTTTAACTTTGCTTGAGAATAGATTAAAAGTTTATTGCCAAAGTATAAAGTAGTTCATAAGTTACTTTTAATATGATGATTCAGCTCTGGTTTGTTGTCATAGATGTGTGTCCACTACTCCATATCAAATTTTTTATTCAAAAGGAATACAGTGAATTTTGCATTGTCAACAAAAATGTTATTTGATCAAGTTGAATTGAGAGCAAGTGAAAGATTAATGATGTACCCTTGATATTTAAAAAAGTTTTGCACATGATGTCCAAATGTGGATTGTGAAAATATTATTGAGCTGAAAATACTTCAGAAGTTGAGTTTGATTTGGTCAAGTAGTTTCAAGCTGTGATTTGCATACAACTTGCTTCACTATTCCAAAATGCTCTTCTGCATGAGAAAAAAAATGAATTTGTATTACAATAAAAATATATATATATAAATATGAAATAGAAAAGCATAAGAAGTTAACTTGAGTATTGCAAAGCTGGATTAACTCTGGTTTTAAATATAGTTGGTCAACTCAATTCCACTGCCTTTTTGTTATTTGCCAACACACAGAAGTGGATACATTTTATAAATACTTTGAATGAAAAATTGTTTCATGAAAACACTAAAAATAATTTGGCAATATCCTTTCCTCTGGGTCAATGTAATGCAATTGTTTTAAACTTGTTAATCTCATTGAAGTAAAACATAAACTCTGTTGGCATTTATCAAGAAATTCAGAAACCACACCATGAATCTATGCCAGAATTAGAAGTAGGATGAAAAATTAGTTGCATGCATGTGTGAATCCAGGTCAAGTTGAATAATATTTTGCTATGGTCTCCTTATTTTCTTTTTCAGTTATG